GAGAGAGAGAGAGAGAAGAGTTTTAGAAGTTGGATAAGTAGTATAAGTCGGTCGTTTGTGAGACAAGTAGCGTGGATCGGTCATTTGTCAGACAAACGAGATAGGAACAGTGAAAATTTATTGAGTTAGAAGTTACGAATAAAATTATTTTCATAAGTTACTTCGATAATTTATTGTTCAAAATATAATAATAATTGTTGCAAGTAATTCTAAATGATCGAGATTACATGATCAATTATAATAAGTACGAATAAATGTTATTCAAGCATTTTAATAATTATTTAAAGTAACTTTATTCGACTTTTTTTTTTTACTTATTTTTTCAATGGATTAATATCTAATTCTCGGATAGGAAGGAAATAATCGTGATCAAACGATAATAGAATGATAGTCATTGGTTAGATAGTAGTACAAGTCAGCCATATCGGTCGAAAACGAGATATTTCACAAGAAAGATATTCACGTTTATTTCTCGTCATTATTTCTATAAATATAATTTAAAAGATTAAAGATGACACTGATTGCTCGTGGAAAAAGAAGAGATCATTTCACCAATTTTGTATTAAAATTTTCTCGTCGGATCGTTAAAAAGATTCAAAAGATAAAACCACGCGATCATTACGATCAACAACCATAACATTGTACAGATTACAAAGATATCCTTTGTTGAATTTTTGAAAGTAAAAGCGTGTCGTAAAACCACACGTAGTGTGTGATATACAGACACGACACCGACGTTATGAGATTTTTACCGAAAAGAATTATATAACTCTTGTAATGTAAAGCAAAATGGAATATTATATCCGGCCTGGAAACTTTTCCCAACCAGCTTGCCTCTGCTTATTTCCAAAGAAATATATCCAACTCGGAAGAAAGAAAACGGCGCACAAGATAAAATTTCCTCGCGTGGAAATCTCGAAATTGTTCTATGTTTTAAAAAACAAAGATGAGATATAATTCGATTTAATCCCCATCGAATATCTCGTAATTAATTTGGATCGGAGGAATATCTCGATAAATTGATAATGAGAAAAGGGGTTTTAAATTTATTCTCGTATTCTCGATTTAACTTTCTAATAAATGGCAATAATTACAAATTCTCTCCCGTTCGACGCTTAAAAGATAGAAATGAAGCTTCGTCTATAAGTCTTCTCACTTTCAAACTTTTCTTCCTTCATTAATCGCAAGACTATTATCCGTGGATAATTAAGGATACCTCTTGTTTTAATTGCTTAAACGTGTTAAAACTCGTTCCCCCTTTTATTAATTACAGATTTTCTTATTATAAATTTCTGAGAAAATTACTTTTGAGGATTTTATAAATTTGTTGTTCATTCATTTCGCGAAAACAAGGATTCGTGATATAATTTATAGTCATTTATAAGTTCATAAATGAACGAAACGAAGAATATTTAAATTGTATTTCTCTAAAATGTATTTTTTTTATACTTATTATCATCAAATTATTTAATCCTTAAGAAACGATAGGAAAAATATTCTTCTTTCGTCCGAAATAAAAAACTGTGATCAATTGTAACTTCTCTTCCAATTACTAGATTGATTAATTGATCTTTTTCAATATTTTCGACTTGAAATCTAATTTTATTAATCGTTAATAAAACTTGTAAATCTATAATAGAAGTTTCACTCGAGATTGAGAGTAATTAATTAATAGAAGATTTAAAAATTTATTTACGACGTAAATGTAGGGAAACTCAAATATCGAATATGAATAAATAATGGAATAAAACAACGGCTAAATTGGTCGACGAAAGACGAAATCGCTTTTAATTATTGAGTAGGAAAGAGTAGATATTTCGGTATATAAATTAAGAAACTCGTTTTACGAATGACCTTTTCACCATAGTCTTATCGATTAACATTCTTTTGATGATCGTGAATTATATCAGGTAACTGTGATTCCGCAAATATTCCGACACCGTTACTCTGAAAATTTGTCCATTTTAATCTCCATTTAGACATTCTACTGCATTCTTGTTGGTTAAAACTTATTCATTAAAAAATTCACTCTTTAAAGAAAGAATTATATTGCATTTATAGACATAAATCTGAGAAGAGAAAAAAGAATATTAAAAGAATATATTTACATTAATTAATGTGTAAAGAATATTAAATAAAAATGGAAAAATATTAAACAATAATACAATTTTTGCTTTTTTTAGTAATATTTGTAATATGAGAGAAAGAAATTTTTTTAATTAAAATATTGCATTTATCTATATATTCAAAATCATAATAAAAGAAGACTGTACTTACTGTAATTAATTTATAGTATTTATATTACCATTTTATATTACTTTTGTCCTTCTTTACCTACAGTAGCTTCTCCTAAATCATTTATATAATTAAAAAAAACAATAAAAAAGAAAAGATAAAGATCGTGATCCCAAACAAAATGAACATCAAATTCAACAATTTTATAAAAATTTTGTATTTCAATTCAATTTGTATTTAATAATATAAATCAATTCAGAGAACGCGAAAACATTTATATTACAAAAGATCAAAGGTGACCATTGCACCAGATTGTCATTCCACCAGTGAATTCTAATTCGTCGAATTTCCCTCGCGAAATCTCTTGAATTCTTCTGCAAAAAATAAAATTTCGATTTTTATGTGATCATTCTCTGTAATTTTTTCCGACGAATCCTTTTACCGAGCGTCGATAACGTAATCTCGGAAAGAAAAATAAAGCGAATACTAAATTAATAGAAATCGATCTCGATTTGTTTTCAGAGAACGCGAGTCGTTGGTGCAGGATAGACGGTATCTGGAGCAACTATAGCAACTATAGCCTCTGTCGAAATCTTCGGGAGCCGGCGATCGAGGGCGGTGCAGAGGTTATCTCGACGACTATATATTTCGTCGGTTATAGCATTTCGTTGATCACCCTGATCATCGCAGTCTCCATTTTTCTGTATTGCAAGTAAGTGATACAGATATAGTATTATTCCTCCTCATTTAAACACTTGTTGATTCCACGCGAAAAGTAAAAATTGATCAGAGAAAGATGAATTTTTGATAGAAAAATGCATTTTTTCATGTTTTTTAATTTTCAATTTATTTTTACGAAATTTTGAAACATTTATATTTCTCGTTAATTTTAATTCTTTTGGATGAATATAGAATTAATTAACCTCTTTTTTTTTAGCAAAAATTAACGAAAAAAGAAATAATTAATTCTCGAATCAACGTTCAAAATAAATAAATAAATAAATTTTCAAGATAGAAATTTTAACGTTTATTGAAAAGCGATGATGACATAATCGTGAATCGTAACTTATCGATTTTATGATATAAAATTTACACGAAAAATCAAAAGTATTTTAACATTTAACAGATCTCAAAAAAAAAAAAAAGAAAAAAGAACTAACTCGCAAAAATATCTATTCAATTACATCAAATACTGAATCAGCATCGCGCTCAAACTTTAATTTCTGTCTGAAAATATCCGACAAAGAAAGACGATATTCCATTCGTCTCATTTCCATATCAATTCGTAAACGGAATCCAAAATGTAGCGCGACACGAATGCATCGCGAAATCGATAAATAATATTCCCTCACGAATATTCCGCGCACGGTTCGATCTGCATCTTCACAAAGGGGAAACGCGATTAAATCTTTCACGCTTGCGCGGTAACGAACGAGAAGGCAGAAACGCATTGTTTGTTAACCACGCTGTGTCGAGTTTCCGCCGCAATCGGAAATTGAACCATCGCCGAGCGAAGGAATTCAAAATAATGTAATAAATTCTTTCTGTGTATTCATCCAACGAGAGGAATGATCGTTGCACACATGAAAATTGTATATATATACATTTATAAAAGGGCGAATGAAAACTGAGATATAAGCTTTGAAAATGTTATTATTTAGCTTCGCGCGGCAGCTAGCTTTTAGGGATGAGCGGAACTGCGAAATAACTGGGTTGAAAGTGGAAGATTGTGCCATGGAAATTCGATTGGGATGGATTAAAATGAAATAATTCGTTTTGATCGTTATACCCTCCTTTTCCTTTTTTCTTTTTTTCTTTTTGACACGTGGAAAGTTTTTTATTATTTTTTATGGGAATACGAGATGGAAAATCGAAAACGAAAAATTTGGAGTCCGTGGAAATGTGAATTTTGTAACTGTGAGAGATGTATAGAAATTTAATCGAAGCGGTAAAGATTCGGTATATCTTTTGTTTTAATTGTTTTAAATTTTCTTCTATTTCAGTGTTGTTGTTTTAATATATAGATTAACGGTAATAATCTTTTTTCTCCGAAACAAAACCGGAAGAAACGAAGTTTAAAAATTAATAGAAAAAGAATTCTGGAAAAGTGATCATGGCCAATTTTATAAAATAAAAAAAAGACAATAATAATAAATTCATGAAATTTAAATTCGAAATGAAAAAAAAAAATACAGTTATTTGTTTCTTTTAACAAACCACTTTTCTCGAATATTCTTCGTAAAAGAAAGACACTCGAGATACGCTATTTAGATATTCAAATGAAGGAAATATATATTCGCGTGCGAAATTAAAGAAAAAAAATGGGGAGGGGGGGGGAGAAAGTAAGAAAAAAATGCACTTATAATATATCACATATATACATATATCGCGCATGATCATCCTTTAGTTTCCCTTTGCATATAACGTCAAGTCAATTTTTCTCATCGCTTCCTATCGCCATGAATCACTCTCCACTCTTTTTTCTTTTTTCTTTTTTCTTTTTTTCCCCTCTTCCATTCCAGAATGCCTACTCTTCTCAATTTTATTCGCGAGGCGCACGTTCCTACGAGGCAAATGGTTCCTTTGAAAAGTAAAGCTTTTTAACCGAGGAACACTTTAGGCTAATGCGATGGTCGAAAGGTACGATCCAATCTTTGCTCTCGTCTCTTTCAGATTGTCTTGCGATTTCGCTTGAATTTGAAATTTATATGATACGTAACGAAATTAATTGTTGACAAAAGTTAGAGAAACAAATTAATCGTTCGAAAATTTCTTTATATTTTTCTTATCTCTTTCTGAAAAACAATTTAATTTTTGCTTATCGATATGATGAGCTGTGCTACTTGTGGTGTTATTTTTTTGTCAATAATGAAAATTTCAATATACCTTTATTTTTGTTAAAACGAAATTTTTTGCTTTACTGTAATTTATTTATTTCGAAATTATCTCCTTTAAATTCACATTGGCTTACATGAATGATTTAGTTACAGACATTACTTGACGGTTGTAAATTAATGTAAGCTTGACAGTCTAATGGACGACTATTATCCTAGTCGTAGATTAATGTAAGATGGATAGTAATTCGTGTGAATAGTTTATAATGGAGAAATCTGAAATGTAGATTAAATTAATAATCTAAGTGATGACGCTTTCAAACTGGCACCAGTGATTCGCGTATGATACAATGATTTTCTTCTTTTTCTTTTTTCCGTGAAAAAGTATTTCAAACTAATTCGAAAGCAATATTTTCGAAAGGATTCGAGATCAAGTTTCATTTGGAAAAGATATCGTATATGGAATCGCAACAAGTAAAAGATAATAATTCACGATTCTCCGATATGGAAATAATTAGTCGGCATTATGGCCGAGTGTAATTAGCTCTCCCTGAGCTTTGAAGTGAAAATCTAGCATGCGAAGAGAAATTTCGGCATATTCGAGGAACATGTACTGTGCAGTGCTCGGATATTTTATTAAAAGCATTTGGAACGCGTTTCCATGTGAAAAATTCATAATTTCCACCGGATGTATTATTAGACCTTTGTGTACTAAAATTGTACACTTGTATACAATAATGCTTAATCGAAATAAAATTCACGTAATTTTATGTATTTTCCTTGATCATTGATAAATTTCTTCGTTCTTAATTCTCAATCTCGAGACTTTGCAACTTATAAACAGATTGAATATATAAGATAAAATTTTTACAAATGGAAATGCGGCTTAAATGAAAGAGGTTCATCTTATTCTTCAAATATCATAATGCATACATTGAATATTCACGTCATGCACATTCTATAGATCTCTGTACATTCAAATTCTTGCATAATCATTTATAAAATATCATTAATATAACAATAATTAACATCATAAACAAATAAATACAATAATATTGATGGAAATATTTTTAATTGCATAAGAAAACTGGTAGCCATTTTGAAATGTCATACATCAAATTGGTAAAAAGAAAAACTTTGACACTGGGATGAAAATTTTAATTAAAAGAATAATAATAATAATAAAAATTATTGAAACACGCAATAAATGTTGAAAAGGAATGATATAAGGAATAATAGAATCGTAGAAGTTGATTTAGAAAAAGTAGGTTAAAGAAAACAGTGGAAACGTTGCACCATCAAGAGTAAATTTTTTTTCACATCGTTACCATAGGGACTGCCGTTTTATTTGATACATTCTTCCTTTGTCCTCCGCCCATTGCGTCCTTTCACGCCGTATATATACGTTTAACAATTAATCGGGCGAGCCAACCACTCTCGCGGCTGTTGGAAAGCAATGGATGTTGTAAAAGGCGCACCTCGGGATAATTTGCTTGAAATCGTGCCACCAGTTTCCCGATTGAAAATGCAACGTTATATAACGTTGAGAAGAAGGAACACGAAATTTTTGTATTCGGTTTTCCACGAATGAAAAGAACGATGTACGGTTTAAAAAACATTTGATGAAAACTCGACTCGTGAATTTAACCTCGTGAAATTTTGCGAAAAATAATTTCGAACGAATTTTTATTTTTATGAACGAATTGTATCTGAATTTTCTTTTTTTAATCGTGGATATTCTCGAATAATTTTCGTAACAATAGTGATTTATATACAAGAGTTAAAAAGGTATGATAATGAAATTTCGAGTGAAATTTTGCGAAAAATAATTTCGAACGAATTTTTATTTTTATGAACGAATTGTATCTGAATGTCTTTCGAATTTTCTTTTTTTAATCGTGGATATTCTCGAATAATTTTCGTAACAATAGTGATTTATATACAAGAGTTAAAAAAGGTATGATAATGAAATTTCGAGTGAAATTTTGCGAAAAATAATTTCGAACGAATTTTTATTTTTATGAACGAATTGTATCTGAATGTCTTTCGAATTTTCTTTTTTTAATCGTGGATATTCTCGAATAATTTTCGTAACAACGATGATTTATATACAAGAGTTAAAAAGGTATGGTGATGAAATTTCGAGTGAAAAAATTTTTGGCGGGAAAATTTTAAATTTTCGAATAATAGGAATTCTGGTATAGAATTCGAATGACTTTTTACGAACGGAGTGTGCATTATTGCGTTTATCTATTGCGTAGAATCGTGCCAAAGAAAAAAGATAGCAGAGGAGAGATTAAAAAGAGCGGAATGTTGAGGAAAGGATAAACTTTCGTTTCTCCTCCACCATTTGCAATTCTGCCGTTCATATCTAACGAAATTAACGTTTCTACGCTATAATTCCAAATATATACATGCCCTAAACGGTCATATTTTGATAACGAGAAGATAAAAGCCGGAGAAATTTAACGAGAAATTATCGTCTCCTCCTTTATCTCTGTAATATCGGTTGAAACGATCCTCACGAAACACACAACGCAATACACGAGCGTTGTGCCATATCTGATTCAGGAATTACATCGTTGGCTGACATTCATGGACGTAAATCATGGCTCCGGCAAATGGTTCGTTCCTCGTGAAACGTTCTACCGTTCTACAATTCTCCCGATACGCGACGGCAGTTTAAATTTGCAAAAGAAGGAAAAATTGTTGGTTTTTAGGTTAATTTAGTGGCCGCGCTTGTTACAGGTAGGAAATGTCGTTACCTTTATTAATTCTCTCCTGTTGTTGTAACTAATATCTTGAGAAAAGAAATTTTTTTTCAACATCATTTCAAAATTTCTACGAAACGAAACGTAAGGATTTAAGTAATTAATAAAGAAAAACAAAAACGGAGAAGAAATTAAAAATTAAAAATTGACGTAAATTTATTTTAATGCATTAAAATAAAAAAAAAGAAAAGATCTCTTTTTCCTCTTGCTTGATTTATTTTTCTACACGCATAACGATCTTTTGCTTATTTTAAAAATATCCTTTATTGTTACTTGTTTTACATTACATGTTTACATAATTCTGTTTATCGATCCAATATGTATCATATTACGTGTATCCCGTTGTGTGTGTACATGACATATTAAAGCTTTGAGCAGTTGAGGATTTCGGTTAACCAAAGTATTCAATTACATTATCAGTCAATAGCGCGAGAAATAAATTATTATTGGAAGTAAAAATCATCAAGTAACAAAGCGAGGAGTTTAGTTTTTAAATTAAATTTGAATAATGAAAAATCTTGTTGATTAAAATCGAAAATTACGAATAACAATAACAAAGGGGAGGGAATGTTGAGATATCGAAAGGTAAAAGCCAATTTCTTCCTCTTCGATATATTTTTACGGGCGGAATAACGTTTTTCTCTATCTCCTCTCGTTTCTTCTTTGCTGGCTGGAATAAACATAACAACCGTCTCTTTAAACAGTAAATTGCGCGCCTTCCACCCTTTGTATCAACTCTATATTGAAAACGATCCAGTTAAATGAAAGGAAAGTAGAAATCGTGAGATGCGAATGCTATTCGTTCGAGTATTTCGTGTCTTTTTTCACGGTGTTCCTCGGAATTGAACCCTATAATTTATATTACGTCAATATTTTTATATTTTTTATTTTTATACGTGAAAAAAAAAAAGAAGAACGTTTCGTTGTTACACAGTTATTCTCAAACTTTTCTCGTTTCACTTTAAAAGTCATAAACGCAATACAAACTTTCACTTTAATATCATGGAACGAAAAATGATTTTCCTATTCTGTATTGTAATAATAAAATTGTAGTTTGGAAAACTACATGATGAAATGTTGTGTTACAAGATTAACTTTATTATTAAATTGAATTCTACAAAAGTGAATTTTGTTTTTTTTTTTTTTTTTTTATAAAAAAAGCGTGATTCGATGAGAGAATAGGAGAATTTATGAAAGAGAATTTTTTTTTTTTATCAAGTTTCGAAAATAAAAATTCTATTATTTGTTTGGAATTGAAAAAATATGAGAAGGATTAATTTAATTTAAAAATCTTGCTAAGATTTGTAAGATTGAATTATTTAAAAAAAAAATTTTTTTCAATCTTTGCTCTGCACGAAATAATATTTGGCATAACTACAAGAATTATTCATAAAAAAGACTACTTTAAAAAAAAAAAATGTATCTTATTATTATTACTCAGACAATAACTTTGTTCCTATGGAACTAGTTCCACTTGAATTTACCACAACATGCAGAATCACAGATTTGCTTAAAATTGCTCTACTTGTAAAGGGTTGCTATGATTTACGTTTGTTAGTTTCCACTGAGAGCACTGATTACAAAGGATTTCTGAATATACAATACCTGTTTCTACTTGTAACCCTCTACTTGTAAAAAATTTTTTTATTATTTCAATATAGAATATATCAATTGGATATAGAAAAAACATTTCCATCTAACAAGTTATTTTTTCGAAAAAAAAAAAAAGATATAGATAGATCTCGAAAGTCAAGTAGTAATAGATTAATTATTGGTCGAGCAAGTAGAACAGACACGTTATAATCAAGTAAGTTGGAAAAGTAGTATCAATCAATCATAAGTGAGATACTCAATTATTGATCTTTTCTACTAGTCTCATCATTTCATTTATATTTTTTAACTGTTTAATGACTATTCGTCTACTACTTGTCTTGTTTAATTTTTTTTTTTCAAATTAATTAACAATCGCTTTAATTCTTTTCCAGGGAACTCAGGTGCATTAGGAACAACATACACACTAACTTGATGTTCACCTACATCCTCGCAGACTTTATGTGGATTCTAAACAACGTGATGCAGGTACTTTCGCAGAAAATGGTATATTTTTTTAATGGGTAATTCCTTAATGCATCTCTAATTTCTTCGAGAAAAAAAAAAAATTGCTCTCAAATAAGCAATTCATCACTTGATGTTAAAAATTTTCAAAAAGTTGAATTAAAAATAAATAAATGGGAATTTTGCTTTTTTTCTTGCTTCATTTTAGTGAGGAAATGATAATGTGAAATGTAAATGTGTTAAAATTACGTTGTGACGTACTGGATCAGATTAATCCAGTTAGAAGATTTTTCCACGAAAGAATTTAATTTTGAAATTTTAAAATTCTCTCTTGCACAATAAAATACAATTATTCGTCGAAAAATATATATCGTGTATCGATATCTTGTAAAAAGGAATTAAAGAAAGTGAAAATATGCAAGAATATTTATTTGATGTAGTACAAAGAGAACTAAAATGTTACCACTTGTTGCTGAAACGTAAAACTAGAATGTTCTCTTGAAAAAAAAAAAAAAGATTTAAATTTTTCGTGAAATTCAAATAAATGATATAAATTGAAAATTATAATGAATAATTTGAAAGTAAAGTATTTTATTCACGATTTATCTATATTTTTCTTCTTTATTTATATTAATTTATTTATAATTTTTACAATATTCACGAAACCTTCTTTGAAAATATAATTCTCCTTTATCAAACAAGTTGAAACAACCCATGGAATATTATATAACAACAAATATGCATGAATTATGAAACATCTCCATCAAGTTAATTATGCTAACTCGACTTATCAACGAGAATTACACAATAATAATATTCACGATTTATAAAAATAATACATTATATCATACACGTTAAAAAAAAAAAAAAAAATACTTCGCGTATGTATTTCTTTTCTTTTTTTTTTTTTT